TCCGCACACCCCCTTTCACACACAAGCAAGCAACATGCACAAGCAAGCACGCTTTAGCTTCTAAGCTTCGAAATAGCCAATAGTCTTACTTCGAAGTAGGAGCTTGAAATCCAGTATTAGAACAAGTCAGGAAATTATGAATGAAAATGATGTTTGACTAGCTTATAAGCTTGAAAAAGCACTCCCAATCATGCTCTTATTTTCCTCATTCCTTCATATAATAGTGAAGATGGTTAAAAAGGTTATTCACCACAATAAACCACTACCATGCCAGTTGTTGGATGCTTTCAGTTAGGTAAAGTATTTTCCTACCGTTTGAGGACTAAAATAGGCCATTACATTTTGAGTAAAAATTTAATTAGATCAAAATACTCTTTTAGTGCTACCAGTTTGATGATCCAGGGAAGATCTGGCAAATGGAAGTACGTAAGAACTTTAAAATTGATGGCTCTAAGTTTTCATCTCAAATTGATAGCTCTATTTTTTTCATCTCCAGTAGCAACATTTCCTTGTGCTTAGCTTCAACTTTGTATCACTTAATCATCTTTACGAGACAACTTCACTTGATTGAACAAAGAAGAAAATAGCCAAACTAACAAAGTATACAGACAGAAGACATCAAGTGTGTAGTCTATGAAAAATGGAAAATGCTTCTCTTATGCTTGACTACTTACAAAATGTTTTAAATAATGATGAGGTGTCAAAATGTAAGTGGAGAAACTATTTGTACCCGTTTGGCCTCCATTTTTTTCAAATTTAATATTTGGAATAGTGTTTTTTTGAAGAATGTAGGGTTGAAAAAGAATGAAAAGTTTTTAATTTATGTGTAATATTATTTTATGGAAGATTATGTGATTGAAAATAAGAGAGAGGAAAAAAATAAAAGAGAATGGGAGCCAAACGGGGGCTTGATTGATAAGATTTTGATCCAATTAAATCTTGCCACATCACGTCATTTATTAGTAAACTTTTATGTAAACTGTTATATACATGTAGCATAGGCTTAACGTATAACATTGCAATTCATTATATGTTTCAAGGCAATTTGAAATTTGAAAATAAACAGCTGATAAGAGGATTAATGCAGTTTAGATTAGCAAAAATGAGCAATAAATCCAGTGAGGGGCCATACAATAATGGCATATACGGAAACTTACCACTTGTTTGTGTAGTATTCTGATTCCACAAGAAGAGTAAAGTCTCATTCCTCAATCTGGAGTGCAAAGAAAAGCATGAAGTTACTACAAACAACAATATTTCAATTTTCTGTTTCTCGATGCCATAAAAATAACAAATGCCTATACCTTGGATACCTGAGCTGGATCATCTAATTCTGGAAGATAGAGGATCCACAAAACATGTTTAGCGGGTGCTTATATTCTGACTACACAAGCGGAGCTTCTCTGTCTCAACCCAGAGAAAACTAGCAAAGTAAACGAAGCAACCAATCATTATAAACTAGAAAATGAGCATATTCAACTTTACATTTAAATAACTGAATTCGTATATCTGGGGATTGGGATACTTGGTACGAGACCAAAAAAAAAAAGGACTAAAGGAGGAACTGTAATATTCTTTAATGACATTGAAGTTGAGATTAGAAGCTGTCCACTTGTGCACATACTGACTTTCATGTGAACCAGGTTAAAGAGCTTATAAGACATTTGCAGTCAAATTAATGGATTGATTGAAAGACAGAAGCTACATGGATAAAGTGAAGCTTCAGGTTGGGAAAAATGTCAAGTAGAAAAACACAGTTTTCCTCAACTAGCTTTTCCCTTTCAGGGGGCAGGAGTAGTTTTGTTGTTCTTATTTTCCAAATGGGGAAGTAAGAATTCAAAAAATTAAAGAAAATTACCTTTAGCCCTTGTTTGGTTCACATTAAAAAATATGAACGTTATCCATCACATCAAGCCACCAAATTTAAATTTCTGTTTTTTGTGTGGAGCCCATAAATGCTATGTTTTTCATTTTCATTCTTCCAAAAATGATAAACAAACAAGAGTTTAATGACTTTTCACAACAGAGGTTATCCAAATGATGCTTCCTGTGAGGCACTCCAGACTTCCAGATAGGATAACACCAAATCAATTATCTGATTGAACCACGAGAATCCAGGCAGAAGATAAGTTATAAGTAACATCTCCATCACCAGTAATTACCACAGGAGCATTCACCATCCCTGAAATGGTGGAACCTCTTTCCATCTCTCACAATAATCTCTCTAGCCTCTGCTTTAGACATGAACTTGAATGCATTGTGGCAATCCCCACAGATTCGAAGGTTCTTGAAGACTCTAATTGTGGCTCCATGGGTAAGTTTTAGGAGTCCAAAAACAACTGCAAGCTTCTCACTATGAGTAGACAAAGAATATTCTTTTTGCTCAGATTCCATGTCATGCAACACATACTTCGTGTCTGGAACATATCCCAATTGCCTGAGCTTTGGTACTAATTCTTTCAGATAACTGTAAACTGCTTGCACCTCAGGATGCACAGTGTCATCAACTAAAAATACGTGAACTTTGTTTTCGACATCAATCCAACTACAACCTGGCTCTTTCTTAACCCCTCGATCCCTCATAAATTTCCGTACCCTTGCAACATCACTCCACCGGCCTGCAGTGGCAAACATATTGGCCAAAAGGATATATGTTCCATCATGTTGTGGAATGAGCTCAAAGAGCTGTTCTGCAGCATGGACCCCCAAATCAATGTTTCCATGAAGCCGACAACCAGCAAGTAGAGCTTCCCAAACAGGTGCCCCAGGCTCAAATGGCATGGTCTCTATCACATTTTTGGCTTCCAATAGTTTTCCAGCTCGACACAGCAAATCAATTAATCGGGCATAATGATCTTCGCCTGGCTGTATTCCATACTTTCCATGCATTGAGTCAAAGTAGCGCCATCCTTGTTCAACTAGACCAGCGTGACTACAAGCAGAGAGAACAGTGAGGAATGTTATCCGATCTGGCAAAATCTCTTCTTTCAACATGTCTTCATATAGTTCTATTGCTTCAACACCATGTCCATGCTGCCCAAGGGCTGCTATCATTGCATTCCAAGACACAGAATCCAAACAAGGCATGGTAAGAAACAGAGTATGTGCTGCCTCAATGACACCACATCGTGCGTACATTGTTATTAAAGCATTTCCAGCAGAAAGGCTTGAATCATAACCCAGCCTGACAAGCTGAGCATGGAGCTGGCGCCCTTGCTCCAGTGCTGCAAGTACAGCACAAGAAGTAATGGCTCCCGCAAATGCATAGTCGCAAGGTTCAAGCCCATTTGTTCTCATTTGATTGAAAAGCTTCAATGCTTTTTCTGCAGTCCCATGTTGTGCAAAACCTGATATCATAACAGTCCATGACAACAGACTCTTATTTGGCATCTCATTGAAAAAGGATTCAGCTTCAGTGATTCTTCCTGCACTCACGAATGCAGATAAAATTGAATTCCACGAAACGAGGTCCTTGCCCAAAATGTCATCAAATATTATCCTCGCTTGGTCGATCTTACCACATTTCCAATACAATGTAATCAATGCGTTATTCACAGACACCGGAAATTCCCTTTTAGAGTTTGACCATGTGCGGAGAATGTAAGCATGAACCTGCTTACCATGAAGAAAGAATCCAGAATCAGCACAGGCACTGAGCACATTTGTATAGGTAAATTCGTCATGTTTAATCCCCAAAGAATGCATCTTCCTAAACATCTCAAACACATGAGACACAAAGCCCTTGTGTACATATCCAGAAATCATTGCATTCCATGCAACCACCAGTTTCTCCTCCATCCCATCAAAAACTTGTTGAGCTGCCTCAAGATCATCATTCCTCACATATCCTGTGATGATTGTTGTCCATGACAACTCATCTTTCATAGGCATCTCATCAAATAACTTCCTTGCCGAACCCATCAGCAAAGAAGAAGTTTCCAATGGCGAGGAAGCACATTTGACATAAACTGATATGAGAGCATTCACCACTGAAGTAAGCAACAAGGTTCCTGACTTAACAACAGCAGAATGAAATTGCTGGCAGTGCTTCTCGTGATCAGCTATAAGTGCCAAAGCACCAAGTACACTCGTATAAGTAAAATTATCTGGCTCAAAACCCTTTCGCCTCATTTCATTAAATATCTGAATAGCAGCATGCCCGTTGTTGTTATGCGAATAGCCAGTGATCATGGCATTGTAACAAACGGTATCGCGAATTCTTAATGGCGTTTTATCAAATATATCCCGTGCAAACTTGGGGTCTCCAGAGGCAGAGTAAGCAGAAATCAGAGTGGTTCTCGCAACAACATCTGGTTGGGGAATTTTATCGAACAGCCGTTTCGCGTGGCTGAAGTCCAAAGATTTGCAGTATATATCAATTAGACGGTTGAGGATATGACCTCGTGGCCTGAATCCAAAAGTGATCATGTGGGCATGAATGTTCGGAGCCAGAGAGTAGGACGCGGAGCCATGCTGGAAGCAAAGTTGAAGCTGCGCTGCATAGAAGTTGGCCACAGCGTGGTGGTCTGGTAATTGGCGGAGGTTCTGAGAAGGGTGTAAATATCTGACAGCGGCGGAGGCCGTGGCGGCATTTTTCATGTTGACAATGAGAAAAAATTATAGCATTCTGGACATTGGAATGTCCAGTTTGCCGTGGAGCTCAGAGCTGGCGCCTGAGGATTGCTCTATTCCAAATACTAGTAAAGGAAACGTCGGCCGCCCGGTACATCGCAACTGCCAAATGACTGAGCTCTTCAAGCCGGAAAGTTGAGAGGTCGCGAATTTTATTCAAGGAGCTCTTGGAAGGCAAGGAGGAAAGCATGAGGCATAAATGGGTTTGACTCCAACGATACTTTGACTGTTCAGTTAGGGGGCTTTTGGATCTGACTGCTTTGGGACACAATTTGCGGTTTACTTGGTCTGTGTGAAGAGTAGTTGGATCGTAGATTTCAGGATTAGTCGCTGTAATGTGGACACCTGAATATCAAAAAAAAAAAAGAAACATCGTTAATGTTAAATATAAGCGTATGATGATTGAACGGACACGTACGATAATATTTTATAAATTGAAATTGAATAAAATGGACACAAGAAAGACTTGCAAGCAAATTGCAAAAAATTATCGTCATTTTTTTAATTCACCATCAACAATGTCATTGTAAGAATAAATATACACGGTAAAAAAAGTCAATTATTTGTAAGCTCAATTAATTCGTATGATTTGAAATAGTCATACAAACAAAGCATGAAATTATTTAAAAAATCACATTAAGTCAATGAATAACTTTTAACATAACTATGGATGTAATTTCATTACTCGTCGAACTTTTGAGGCACAATTCAAATAGATGGCAACATTCACAAATAAAAAATGTATTTGGTTAAACAAGAAAATTATTATCTCGATGCATTGGTTATTCAAGATTATGAACAATAAATGTCTATTAATGATGACAAAAAAAAAAAAAAAAAATCCATTCATAGCCTTGTTCAATATGGTATGGGGGAAGAAATAACAAAAAGTAGACATCAAGTTAAGGCATAACGGTCCCGTGATAGAGCTACGCACTTGATCATTAGATAAGTTGCTAGATGATGCAAACCATCAACTATAAAGCTGCTCCCACCCACAATTTAGTTTGTTTAAAAGATTTAAACATTGTTTTCAACACAATCAGGTGTTTGTTATGTCTTTTGTACAATCCTCAACTCTAAACCTAGAAAAAAGGAAGGAAAAAGCACTACAAAGAAGCGAGAAGAGCTTGTCAACATTCAAATACCTATTCGGCTCTATCAGATTCATAATTATAACTTTTAAAGATATCCCATCTTCCTCTCAATAAAAGAGAGTTGCTTTTTGTTTGAATATTTCATCTTGTTGATTATTCACCACTCAAATTACTAATTCAGGGCAATAAAGAGCACAATAATATTAAGATGATTGAGGTTAGAGCCCATAAACAGTAAACAGAAGAAAATCCTAAAAATGATATGATACCTTTAGTAATAGGGGAAAGAACTTCGCGTCGATTCAATTTTGAAATATTTCCCTGTGAACCCTTCCAAGGAAGCTGACTAGTGTATGTAGTTTAACAAAAAAAAAAAAAAAAAAAAAACCAATTTATCAGGACACGTGGGAAAAAAGTTTTAAGCATCAATATTATGAATCGTGCTGATAATATAAGTACTTTTTCTTTCTTTCCAAACTTGAAAATCTATAAACAAAAAGAGTAATAAAACTGAAATTTATCAAGTTACAAAAAGTCATATTTCCATTCATAATCTCGTTGACAATAAAAGAATTTAGCTGCAAAAAGTGTTGTGGTAGATATCAAATTTTGACCAATGTTTAAATAGGCAAAGTTTTGTCGAGATTTTAATGCAACATGACCTATTAAAAAAATATTATATCATTTGTTCGAATCCACTCTATTAGAATTGAAAATGATAGAGTAGGCATATAAAACGAGATGTGACAGAAATACTCTTCAGCGATTAAAAAGTACTAAAACAAGCAATTCATCACAAATAATTTTTAAGGTTTTATGGGACACCCAGACCATTGCAAAATGTATTTAGACTATACAATATTTAGGCCTCGTTGGGTAGCCATTTTTTTAAAAATGCATTTTTCTCTTTCTTCTTTTCAACCACACATTCTTTATTAAAATAATATTACACGTAAATCAAAAAAAATTTCTTATTTTTCAACCACACATTTCATATCAATTTACTATTCTAAAATGCATTTTTACATAAAAATGACTATCAAACACCCACTTAGTCTATTTTTATATATATGACAAAAAAAAATTTGACACTTAAAAGATGACTTGGACATAGTGGCAAAGTTCTCAAGACACTCTAGACATCCTCCCATGGTGACAAAAAAAACCTTCACAAGTAAGAAATCGTATGACTAAAAGTTCCACCCTAACAATTTAATTACACAAACCATTAGGTAGCAGCAAATTTTGATGAAGTGCTGCATGATTGTTAAAAAACCATTTGTAGTATATATCTGAGAATGTGAACTACCTTAGAAAATTCCTTCATTCATGAGCATTCGAGGTCAATCATAGTGAAGTATATCATACCAACAAGAAGTAAATATACTTATTAACCATATCTTCACTTCAATAAAAACTGAAAAATAGAGTATGATGCTGCAGTAATTGAAATTTGACCAGAATACCATATCTTTGACACCACTAATATGTTATTTAAGTTATATTGACTGATTACATTAATGTTTGAGACTAAAAAAAAAAAAAGAATTCGCCATAGAATAAAACAAACCAATAAAATTGATTAGAAAAATGAGAAATGGAGAATAATGAAAACAGGCCCAATTATTCCTCCAATGCAATTATAAAGATGTTCAACCTCTCCAAGAGTCTTCAATAATGACCTTAATGCTTTTTTTCTCCTCCTTTCAACACCGCAAGTTTACCTCCATTGTTCACATCCCATGTCTCATTTATTTCCATTTTATTCCAAGTGGAAAGTGATAAAGAATTCATCAAAAATTAAATCCATATGGTAAATTCACTCTGTCTCTCTTCCACAATAGGCAATTACTGTTGGAATCGTTGCCATAGCGAAAGATTTTATTTCTGTCAATCAATGCAGTCATAGCGAAAGATTATAGAAAAGATGAATAAATCTCACAAGATCGAAAAAACTCATAAAAAAATTTATTTATGTCAATCAATGCGGTTATAAAGGGCTTATAATACTTTATATAGCAAAAACCCTAGGAAAATTGGAAAAAATTAAAAGATAATAATTTTTTTCTAAAAATAGAAAAAATCAAGATAATGACTAAAATTGAGAGTCCTAATCATAAGAATTGTCTTCTAACAAACGGAATTCAAATCCAACTTAAGTTAATTGAGATATAACTAAAATATATTTACCAAAAAATGAAAATGCATAAACGAAGGAATTTGCCCAAAATTGGCTGTACATCGAGAGCAAAACTCTTGAGCCTGGTCATTGGCCTATTTCCAATTAAATTTGACTAAAATTTCGTAAAAAATGGACAGTCCCAAAATTTCTCAAAAAATCGGAAAATTGTCTAAAATTTAAATTCATTCATCAATGGTGAGCGAATTTGAAGAGCACTGAAGGCATTAATATGAGGAAGAACAACTCGCCACAGACCAAGATGGAAGCATCCAAGTGCGTATTCCCGATTTCTGCATCGATCCAATCAATCTCAAATTGAAGATGGGAAAAGGAAGGTAAGGAGAATAAAAAATAAGAGCTGCAAGTTTTAGGAATGATGTTTTTTTTTAGCTTAATGAAAGGGGAAAAAATGGAGCTGCATAGAAATTATTTTCGCACAGTGCAGAGAGCGCAGTATCTCTTCGCTATGCATTTGTCGCACTGTATTGAGAGCTTTTTTCTATCGATATATTTCTATTTCAAATGATTAGCTTGCTAATTTATCTATAGTGCTGCTTCATCTTTTTAATCAATGGAAAGCATTAAAAAATTTACCTTCTTCAATAATATGTTTGTATATATCATATTGCATCTTTAAGAAATCAAGAAACAACAAAGAAAATAGAATAGCGACTTCTGATATAATTAGAATTAATCTAAGCAATCCATGATTTATGAATTCTTGAATAAAGCTGTGAAATACTAACAAAAGAAAATAGGAGGTTACATAAAAGAATCACAAGATCTTAAGACACTAAAACTATCCCAACCATTACACAAACATGTTAACCCATATTCATAAAGCTAGCAATTTGCTTCTCAAGTTGTTTTTAAACATGTTATGTCAATTTTGGTATGAGATTACTATTTAGCCCCTGTTTGATAGGGATTAACATTTGATTTTAGTTTCAATACTCCCTTTCGACCACATAAAAAATACAAAAGTAAATTTACTAAGAAATAAACCATGCAGAAGAAGAATGCAAATAACATGAGGCAAATAAATTGCTCCAAGAAAGAGAGAAAATTCGATGAAGAATATGATTACAACCTGATGTGATTTGACTGTCAAGTATCCACAAGGAACAAAATCACCAAATTTTTAAACAATTAGACGAGATGAAATCGTACTTTCTCAAATCAAACGAAAGCTAAGGAAAATTTAAGGAACGAACACAATTGAAGGTATAAACTTAAACTTTCACATATTTTAATAACCTGACACAAGAAATGATCATCTACCTACCTAAAAAACTTCAATAAGGCAAAATGCTTGATCTATCGCACAAAACTACATTTTCCTAAAATATTCGTCCATCTACGACTCTCTGGCGCAGTTTACGTCCTTCATTTTGTAGATTCGACAACACAATGATACATTTACCCCAAGTTAACACTTTTGCATATTCAAACTTACCCAATCACAACTTTTGCAGATACGAATTTACCCAGAAAGAAGAAGAAGAAAAAGAGGAGTGCAGGAGTGGCAAGTTGAGTGAGAGAATGGACAAAGAGGACAATTGGGTATTAAAAAAGAGACTGCCTCACCCTTCCCTCCAATTGGCCAGATAAATTACATTGTTTTAGAAAAAAAAGAAAATTGGTGGAGGACGACACATATTTGCGACACCTATCCAGCACTTGTTAGGCTCTTTTATATATGTAGGATATGTGACTTATGGTAATTATCTGAAGAACCCTCAAAGATTGAAAAAACTGTATATTTGTCCTTGAACCTGCAGATCCCTTCTTCTTTTTTCCTGCTTTAAAATTGGAGCCCTGTACTTCAATTGCTTCACAAATTTGCCTTATTTATTTCTCAATTTGAATTTCATATTATTTGAGTTTATTGCTTGTTTAGTATAGGTGTTTTATATATATAAAAAAGTTAGTCAAACTTCAATTTTAATCACACGTTTTAATGAGATCCATCTGCATATAAACAAGGACTTAGTATTCAAGAATCCTTTATATGTTAAGAGTATATGAGAAAACTTAAAGTATTCATACCAGTGTTCTAAACACAGTAGCTAAACTTGAAGATTGGCATTGTCACCTAACCAAATTTATTTTTTAACAATCTGATTTCTTCTAAGCCCATTTAAGCTCATAAAAGTTTGAAGCTTGACATGGTTATGTAGGCACATTTTATAATTTTTTAAAAATAAAAATTAACTAATTTATTGTGATTTTTAATTTCACTACAATTTCAAATGTTATATATATGAGTTTGTTCAAATTATGATCTTGACACATGCTCACCTTGACGTATCCTTCAAATGAATTGTTTCATTTATTATTATTCAGAGTAAATTACTACACTATAAATACTTGCTTAATTTTCTAAAATTTAGAAAAACCTTCCCGTAACAATAAGTATACAAATTTCATTTTACACTTTTACAATTACAATAATCTTTAAACGATATTTTTTTCATTGATTTACGATATAACTATTGTAAATGGCCCCTAGCGTTTGGCTATGCTGCATTTCATGACTTATTGTTCTTAACTTGGCATGTTGGCCCTAGTAATGTTCAGCTGAGAGGAATGCGATCATTTAACAATAGAAATGGATAGCAAGTGACAATAAATCTAATTTTAGTGAAGAAAGAAATATGCAAACAAGGACCAAAATGTCAAGTTGAGATTGGTAAGTCTTGAAAATGCAGCGTGCCCAACCAATGGGGACTGTTTAGTTGAGAAAGTTAGTATAAATAAATCTTCTATTTGGTTTCGATAAAAATCAGATTTTTTGTAAATTTTTTTAATATTGATGAAATGTATAATTAAAAAGTTGATAAAAGTTGTAAATTTAACAACATATAATTAAAAAATGAGTTTGTGAGAAAACAAATAAAAAAAAAAAGGGATTCCGATAAGGGCAAAATGTTTTCTTTTCTTTCCTTATAGATATTGCTCAAATAATTACATTTTATAAATATATGTCAAATTAACTCTTGTATTTTCAGAAAAACAATAAGGTTGATCAAAATTTTATTAGAAGGAGGAAAAGAAAAGGAAATTTTATTTTTATAGAAAAAGAATATGTTAAAAGTGAGAAAAAAAATTACAAATTTACGTGTAAAATTATTTGCAAAAAATCGAAGGCCTCATGAATTCTTCAATTTAACGGCCACACACTGACCCACGTCATTGGCGTCGCAGCCATGTCCCTCCTCCCGCCACCGTCGCTCTTCCGTTCCAAATCCGCCGCCCAGAATCTGCTAACTGTTCATGCCAACGGCTCCTTTTACCGCTCCAAAGCTTCATGGCAAGAGGTATATATGGCTTTTTTTTTTTTTTTTCAGCATATTCTACCACTGTATATCTTTTAGTTTTATTGGCTTTTAGTTTATCCAACAAGTGTTGGTTTGAAGGTTGCCGGGGTTTTGATTTTCTCGGCAATTCCATTCACGGCGGTGAAAGCTATTGCCAATAGTCCTCTTGGGGAGGCGCTACAGAGGCGAATGGAGGAGAAGAAGCAGTTTTATCAGGAAAATTCTTCTAAGTTTAAGGCACTTGCAGACAAGGCCAGAATGGATAGGTGATATAACTTATTTTGCATTCTCAGTTGTGCCTATTTCTTCCATTGGCTATATTATGAGTAATCGTTAACATGTCATAATAGAATTTTAGTGGGAAAAGGAACTAAAATTGTCTGCATTGCCAATTTTTTATGATTATGTACTTCTTTTAAGATCAGACAAAGATTGTCTTATGGAATTAACAAGATTTTTTCTACATGTGCATCTGAATTAATTAACGTCGGATTGGTTTAGAATTTCAAATTTCTATTGTCTATCCATTCTCTCTACTGAAGTGTGTCCAACTTCAATCAAATGATTAGTAATTTGGCTTTACAGCATGTGGTATGGAGAAGACCGCCCTCGCTGGCTTGGTCCAATCTCGTATGAATATCCTACCTATCTCACAGGCGAACTACCTGGGGACTATGGTTTTGATGTTGCAGGTCTGAGCAAGGATCCCAGAGCCTTGCAAAAGCTTTTCAAGTGAGTATGCCTAGCAATACTTGCACAAATCTGTTGTGTGATTAGTAATGTTAGAGATTAGAAGGCCACTTAGATATTTTTCATTCAAGAGTTAGTAAATTTCTTCCTTTCATAATTTCTAGATACCATTGTGTTCTTTTAGCTAAACATTTATATTAACACTCAAGCATTAACTTTGTAGATGCATTGCAGAGATGGCTTCTGTCACATACCCAATTGGAAATAAATAAGTGAATGAACAATACGATCATTGTACATAGCATGTCATCCAACTCATACCTTGAACATGGATAAGAAGCCTTTCAAAAGGAAATAAAAGCAGCATGTTTTAGGGATTTAACATGGAAACAAGCATAAAGATGATCTCTTTCCTCAAAGAAGGCATCCTAGTCTCAGTTTACATAGCTACTTATTATTTAAATCTCTGTTATTTTTCAGTTTTGAAGTACTGCATGCCAGGTGGGCTATGCTTGCTGCCCTTGGTGCTTTAATTCCAGAATTATTAGACCTAACGGGAACCTTCCACTTTGTGGAACCTGTTTGGTGGCGAGTGGGCTACTCAAAGCTCAAGGTTAGCATTTTTCAGTTTTTTGTATCTAGATGAGTTAGACATCGTCATTTCTGCTTTCGTTCTTGGCTAACAAGACCAACTTTTTCATAATAATTGGTGTAATTAACAATGGTATCAGATTTAGCTTGAGCCTTTTTCTTTTTCAATTTCATTATTGTCCAAAAGTCACATATTTATTCGTGATGAAGTCTTGATAAGCTAATAAGCAGTGGTAGCACACACGAGGGCCTAAACTAGAGCCTGAGATTGTTTATGTTTCATACAATTTTAAACAGAGAAGAAATGTGCTTCAGTTCATCATCCAGAAGGCCCGTAGTACATATCAAAACTTTTCTTGACCCAACTTGGTGTCCATGCAGGGAGTTATAGTTAGGGTTCTTTCTTGAGCGGTTGCCCTTTTTTCGCATATGGAGTTCGGAAAAAAGTTAGGATCCTGTTTGGCAGTTACTTAACATAGTCAGTCATCTTTTTTGACCTTTTTACTCACAGGTGGGACCCACCTTTCAAGCTAACAGTCAAAAATTTCCTTTGCAAAGTCAGTACCAAACAGGCTCTAGGTCTATAAATGAATTTACTATGAGAAGTTTTTGTAATGGTTATTTGTTTTTTAGTGGATTCGTTGTGCTAGCCATGGACTTAGCTCTCATAGAGTAGATGCATATAACTCTTGTGTTTTCTTGCTTTACTAGTTTTGGGTTTAGTCTATGTTCTTTTCTTAAAAAAATTGATGTTTTTTGTTAACATACGATGCCTTTTAAATTCCTACCTTAAATATTGTGTTTACAGGGAAAATAAGTTATTTTTAACCTATATTTTGTATCAACCGAACTTGTTAGCAACAGCTCAAGAGTCAGGGATGAGAATCCCTAATTGGAGATTCAAATGTTTTTCTGTTTACTCTATTTATGGGCTAGGCAATTATCCCCACTTACATAGTTTGAAAATCTGAGGATGAGAACTAAAGCTGGCCACTGAGAATCAAGCGTGTGTATTTTTGTATATGGTTTGGGAACATATGGATTTATGATGTCGGAGAGGAGTGTGCAAGATAAGTGTCGGATCATATAAGATTAAAGTAAAGAGGGTAGTAGAGAATTTTCTACAACAAACTTTGGAAAATAAAGAAATAAATATATAGCCCATGTTTGTTTGCCATTCTTTCCTCATTAAAATGAAAAATATGACCGTTATCCATCTCATCAAGTCACCACATTTGAATTTCTATCTCTTATGTGGGGCTATAACGACTATATTTTTCATTCTCATTTTTAAAAAAATGGAAAACAAGCGCCCCGATACTAAGGCTGTCCTGGACGTCTTGGCTAGTAAAATAAGATGAAAGGACCAAAATGAAAAGACAGCCAGGGAGATGATGCACAACACAAATATAGGTTTTTAAGGAAAAGTGCCTATATGAACCTTTGCCACAAGGTCAACTTGTGCCTTCTCCTGAATTGTGTCCAAAACTTTAAGCAGTATGGTATGTGGTAGATCTTTTTGGGGGAGAAAGTGGTGCGCCACCTCAAAATAGGCCTCTTATTCACTTGCTAAAGTGAAGTGCCACAAACTGTATAAAGTGACCCCCAAAACAAATTAATGTTTTGGATTGCTACAAACTTGTGATGGTAAGATTATAAAGCTTAAAAAGAACAGAAAAGGATTATAACTTTGACCACCAAAATGCTAGAATCTAGGTAAAATACAATTTAAAGATTAAGAGTATTCAACTCCCAGCACTTAATTATATATCCTCGATGCAAAATCAAGGAACGAGGTGTCTATGCTCGGTTGCTCCATGTTCACCTTGGGAAAACAATGCGAGATGAAAGGAATAGTTGGTAATTCTGGCATGCCTCAATCTACAAAACACATGTATTTCAATTTATAATTAATGACCTTTTCTTTTTGCTGGGAATGAAAGTGTGTATTATTCCTCGTAGCTAATTTTATGATACATTTAGTTCACTTATGTTTCTGGATCTTCCTTTTTTTCCTCTGTCCGTAAGATGTGTTTTCTTCTATCTGTTTGCTCACCAGGGTGATACATTGGACTACCTTGGCGTCCCTGGTCTCCATGTGGCTGGAAGTCAAGGAGTGGTTATCATAGCCATCTGCCAAGCCCTTCTAATGGTAATCTCTTAGTCTCTTAGAATACATTTGTTGTTCATCATTGAGTCTTATGTTTGAGAATGATACCTTTCACTAATGCGATATGACTGCCTCCTGTTGAAGTGGTCTGATTTTGGTTTTAGCAATCTGAGTGGGATGGTCGGATTATATTTTTGACACCTCCATCCAGAGTCATGGTATTAATTGGCATATTTGATAACTGTATATAATGACTGTAGCGAAGCTTGAGCCACACATGTTGGATCGTGACAATTACCCAGTGTGATTTTCAAAACAAAATATTCATGAAAATATTGAATAATTTACTCTTCCTATAATTACTCTAAACCTTGCTAATGTCTCTAGTACATCAGTCAAATAAACATGTCTAATTACAAGCCTTTATTGGACATGGGAGATAGTAAAAAGATATTTTATTCTATCCAAATCACTTGCATTCAAGTCCAAGTAGCTGAAGACAATGGCTCATTTTTCATCTTGCTGTGTCCATGCCTCAATATTTTTCTATGTTCCTTTAAGCTCATTCTTCTGTCTTCCTCGTCGTTTTCCAACTTAAGAGAATGTTTACATGACTACTTCCTTCTAGCCCCGAGACCTCTGTTCATCATTGTCTTTTCAAGTTATAAGCCTTGGAGGGACTCCCCTTACTATTTGATACCATATCTTCCACAGAAATAACCTATGATCCAAGTGCCCTTTCTTTTGTAGCCCGTTATTGTGGCTCATATTGAGTTATTACCATCATGGTGCAGTTCTGGTTAATATTATTTAAATGGTGAATCTTATGTCCATGCTTCTTTCCTTCCTCTTTATCTTTATAAAATGCTTTTCAGGAATACCTCATATGTGGTTGTCCCAAATCAGTTGTAGAGATGGGGAAGCGCCAACTTATATAAGTGGATGTTGTGTTTAAATTGTAACATGGCTTAGCCATTTTAGGAAAAAGCTGAAATAGACTCGAATCTTTACTTATTAAATCTGCTTCTTAGATTACATTTGTTTCCCAGTCGTGAACCTAGGGTATGATAAGTCATTCATCGAATGAAAAAATAAAAATAAAAATTATCAACCCTATGAATGTGCGTTTTTGATAAATATTTTAGGAGTTTACTGACGACGGTTTTTGTCATAATAGAAGTGAATGCAGTGAAACCATTCTTGAGTCTAATGCAACTGTTTCACTCTATTCGTTCTTTCCTCCAAGTGCTCCATCAGATTTATTCAGTTCCACCTGCAATTCCCAGTTATAGTACAATTTATTGCTGTCTTGGACCTCAAATGCTTGATGTTCAGCTACCTTGTTGTATGTAATTGATTATTTAAATATGTTCTTCTAATGTTTTCTTGGTCTAGTAATCTTGTCCTGTCATCTCTCTCTCTCTCACTCACACACACACACACACGAGCTAGTGCGCTCGCACACACAAATTCAAAATATCTGTCTAATTCTTCCCTTCTCAATGGTTATCATGATTTTGATATTGACAATTCAAAACGTTTCTTGAGAGGGTTCAAACACTGTTGATCAGTGAACTTTAGCAAGACTGCACTTGGTTCCTTGAACGTCATTTGTTCGAGTTAGTCATAGAGGCTTGTCTTTGGGTCCATGTACATTACTTCATCTACCACCCTCATTTTCAGTAACAGGAAATTTGATATGGCATACAGAAAACTTGAGCTGAACATGTAATACCAGAGTTGAACTTGACACATTTACCATGACTGGTGGGATAAATTGTTCGTAGTTTTTACAAGGGGGGAAAAATGGTTGGAGATAGTTTCAAAACCGGGCAATAACCCAATACTTTATCAAGCAAATATAGGAATGCAAAGTTTACATCTCAAGTTTAATTTGGCAACATCATTTGCCCAACTAAAAGACATTATCTAATATTTTTTGTGCGCGTGAAACTTCGTCCGCTTTTTCTTTCATAAAACTCAACCTAGCTGAGTACGAAGATCAACCCTCTCAACCATTGGATTGGTCATGATAAACGTAGCCTCATTCAACTCTAGTAACACATGTTAACCTCAGTTTTCCTGTTTGCAACTGACATCCAATGTCCCATTACTGTAAATGACTGGTAGACAGAATAACATGAATAGAATATGCGGCTAACTTAAGTGACCAACTAGAAATCAAGTTTAGTGACCCTAATGAATTGTCGCCGGTCCAGTTCAACATTGTTTTTAACCCTTTACCAATACAGCCCATTCAGTATGGGCAATAAGAGCATACAAAATAAAGATTCTATGTGTTGCATAATGGAACTGTTGTCATTGCATTTTTATATCCTTTTGACAGATAAATTGTGCAGTTTTGTTACTTCAACACAAAAGGCCAACCATTATTTGTTCTTGATATTTGTTCAAGTTTCTCTATTCATATATCCAGGTTGGTCCAGAATATGCAAGATATTGTGGTATTGAGGCTCTGGAGCCTTTGGGAATTTATTTGCCTGGTGACATCAATTATCCTGGAGGCGTGCTTTTTGATCCCTTAAATCTGTCTAAAGACCCTTTGGCTTTCGAGGAACTGAAGGTGAAAGAGATAAAAAATGGGCGCCTAGCCATGGTTGCATGGTTAGGCTTCTATATTCAAGCTGCTTTCACAGGTAAAGGCCCTCTACAGAACCTTCTTGAACACATCGCAGATCCCCTCCACAATAACGTTTTTTCACTTCTAAAATCTCTTTAAGATTTGTACTTTAATTGGACAATTTGTTTGAAATTGATTGTCATATATATGTATATATAGACATACATACCACCCTGTATCATAATATGTTTAATCCAGGATCTACATTTTCACTGGGTTTATACTTGTAAGAATTTTATTCCCCAGTTCGGTGGAAGTTAAAATCAGATTTTTTAATAGATTTTTGATAAGATTTGATGAAGTACGTGGTTGAATAGTTGTGGCTTCCTTGAAATATACTATTAAAATTAATTGTTAAGTTTGATTTAGATTAAAATATGAATTTTAATTTCTATCAAAACAATGCAATAGTTTCTAAAGTAGGATTGCAGATGGATATTTGAGCAAAGTTATTGACGATAAAAACTTGATTGGTTCGTTGTTGTACCAACGACTTTGAAGAAAATTTGTGAAAGCTGGAAAATTGACAATATTAATATGATATTGATATACTTCCATGTTTATGTTGTGTTAACAATTTTATAATATATTAAATATCACATCAAGTTAGAATTATTTTTTGGATAATTATAGTCCAATTATAATTCAATTATTTTAATAATACACACACTTTTTGTTTTTCAATATGTATTTAATTTACAAACTGTAATAAATACTATAAAATTTTTGTTCATGATGTATCCTCTACAATCAATTCTCAATTAGTTAACATTTAAATTTATTTAATTAGACGTCCATGTCCCTATTATTAATTCTGAATTAATTAATAATCACATTCATTTAATTAATATTAATTAGAATTTTACATTCAAGAGTGCATTTCATTATTCACGTTCATGTATGTTAATTGACATCCATTTTCTAATTGAAAATTAAATTATATTCATTGAGTATAAATAATTTCACATGTATATTCTTTAGTATTTATTCTAAATTAACTAACATTCATGTTAATTCGTGTATCATATTTGCCATTCATCTTCATTTATGCATTTAGTTGTAATTCTAATACTCATATTTAAGCGCATTTTACTATTTACCTGCATAAATAATAATTATCCTTTTAATTTCAGATGCTTGCATTTCTCTCATATTTAGATCAAAATGGTGAATTGGGGGGAGGGGGTCGAATATTACTTTCACGGTGCTTATAAAGTATTATAGAATAACGTGCAACGTACGTTCAACATTTACTAGTATAGAATAAATGACAAAAACTCAAATATAAAAGTTCGTTTATACAAAAACACATCCCAATTTGACCGTTTGAATTTTCCCTATTTAATATCGATATGGATGTAAATTTCACTGAGATCTGGGTGCTATAAATCTTAAAAGATGAAAACTTAAATGCTAAGATATAATGGTTGAGGATCTAACTTATATGTTACCCATAGATTGGGGGTTGCACCGGAAATTATCCTCTGTCGATGACGACCGAAATCGAATGCAGAAACTGAAAGGAGATAGGAAGAGGGCCCCACCTAAGCAAAACACTGAGGTAAGTTGGGGCCAAAATCTTCGATGATAAGTATGAATTAAGAAAATAATTAATATTTTAAATCGAAAGCTATTTTCCTTACCTTAAATGACTAAAAATCATTTATTTATTATTCATGCATCAATGTACAATGTGCAAAACGCGTCTGCATTAATTAATACACAGCTAATAATTATTAGTTTGACGTTGACCCACTAATTTATTTCGAAATTGATAATTGTCAAATTTAGGTGGAAAGGCCCGATTATTTCTTTATTTGCAATAGTTCGATTATATGTACGCAATAAATTTACAAGAAAGAAATATTAAAGGGGTGTTTGATAGTCATTTTTATGTAAAAATATATTTTAGAATAGTAAATTGATGTGAAATATGTGATTAAAAAACAAGAAAAAGTTTTTGATTTGTGTGTAATATTATTTTAATAAAGAATGTGTAGTTGAAAAGAAGAGAGAAAAAATAGAATTTTTTTAAAAAAATGGCTACCAAACGAGACATAAATTTCATCTGTAAATAGGCAAGTTGTCTTTATAATCACAAGTGAGATTTATATAAACAAGCAATGTGATAAATGCAAAGAGAGATTTTTTATGGTGTTGAATCTGCTCATAAGAAAATTAAAATTAACAATAAAGAAAATTTATAAAGACGTTTATAATTAATTCATAAGTAATTTATTATTTATTTCTAGGGGATTGTATAATTCATATAAGTCACTTTTTTATTTACAAATAAAAATATATACAAGAATTGTGTAATTCTGTTAGGATAATGCATACCTAACAAATTTGTTAACCAGATAAATTAAGGACGAATTCTGTTACAATTTAAATTTTGAATGATCGATTTATCATAGAAGGTCGATCCACAAATATAATATGTAAAAATTTGTATAAATTTTGTTAAGATTTTTATGTTAAACTGAAATCTCATCTAGAAATCGAGCATTTAAAATCGTCCACAAGTTCAACCAAATCTAGAATTTGCCGGTTCACAATTGAAATAAGCCGGTCTACTCAAATCTGGCCGTTGATTTCTGTTTCTTGATTCGATCCTTGACCTCTAACACTACTTTTTCGAGTCGATATCGAATTTTTAAAATCCGTACGAGAATTAGAGTTCTAATAGGACACAGATTCTTCAATTGGCTTCAGCCAGCTCTTTATCTCTCTCCGTATCTTCATTCTTCTTTCAATGCGTTGATTCTATTCGCTCTACCGATCATAATATATTTGATGCAAGTCGATTTCTCTGTAATTTTCTTTTGTAAATCACGCATGTTTTTTAATTCCGCTTATTTGTCTATTATTTTAATTTTTCATACTCCGGTGATTTGAATCCCTGTTAGAACTTTGCATGTATGTATATATGCGTTATTTTTAATGTGTATTCTTATGTGAATGAATTTTGTGTTGTAGATAGTTCTTCTTCACCCACCGTTTAAAAAATTCAGAGAATGACGGCTGCAAAAGGGGTTTGTGAGGCGGTTTCTGAGGTGGTTACAAAACCTAGCTCTTACCAGATTGATATGCCCAAGCCTGATTCTAACGGGATCAGCCACCATAATGATCCTGATAATTCCAATGCTTTCATGAATGGATCAAATGGTTTGAGTGAGGATCTTGTGGTTAATAATGACGTTGTTGAGTTGGATTCGAGTGTTTTAACTGATTCTGAGGTCGTTGAGGTTCAAGGTGTGGAATTTGATGCTCAAAGCGGAAAATTGGATAGCAAAAGTGCCGAAATTAGTGAATTGTTGGATGGGGAACATGATGCTGTTGAAGGGACTAGTGGGATTTTCGCGTTGGAGAATATCCCCCAAGATCAACAGAATTCCCTTGGGACGGAGGGGCTTGGCGTTGCGAATGGGACTAATGGGATTCTACCTGTGGAAAATTGCAACCCCCAAGATCAACAAAATTCCCTTGGGGGTGAGGGACACGACTTTGCAAATGAGGCTAATGGGAATCTCCCGGTGAAAAATGGCATTCCTCAAGATCAACAGAATTCCCTTTGGAATGGGGTTGAGGTTCAAGATGCGGCTACTGATGCGATGGAGGTGCAAGTTGGAAAAACTGAGAATGGGGCAGCAGTTGAAATAAAGCAGGTTCAGGGCCAAACTGGTAAAACAGAAAGCAATGCGGAAGATGAAATAGAACTGGTTCAGGAACAGTCTGGAGAAACAAAAAGGAATGCAGAAGATGAAGTAGAACAGGTTCAGGATCAAACTGGAAACACAGAAAGGAATGCAGAAGATGAAATAGAACAGATTCAGGAACAATCTGGAAAAACAGAAAGCAGTGTTGAAGATAAAACAGCAAGCAACGGAGAAGATGAAATAGAACCAGTTCAGGACCAAACTGGAAAAACAGAAAGCAATGGAGAAGATGAAATAGAACCAGTTCAGGACCAAACTGGAAAAACAGAAGGCAATGCAGAAGATGAAATAGAACAGGTTCAGGACCAATCTGGAAACACAGAAAGCAATGAAGAAGATGAAATAGAACCAGTTCAGGACCAAACTGGAAAAACAGAAAGCAGTGTAGAAGATGAAATAGAACAGGTTCAGGACCAAACTGGAAAAACAGAAAGCAGTGTAGAAGATGAAATAGAACAGGTTCAGGACCAATCTGGAAAAACAGAAAGCAATGCCGAAGATAAAACTGAAAGCAATGCAGAAGATGAAATAGAACCGGTTCAGGACCAAACTGGAAAAACAGAAAGCAGTGTAGAAGATAAAATAGAACTGGTTCAGGATCAAACTGGAAAAACAGAAAGCAATGCAGAAGATGAAATAGAACCAGTTCAGGACCAATCTGCAGTTCAGGAGCAATCTGGAAAAACAGAAGGCAGTGCAGAAGATGAAATAGAACAGTTTCAGGATCAAAATGAAGAAACTGAAAGTTTGGTCAAAGCTGAAATAGAGAAAGTTGAGGATTGGACAAAATCGGAGTCCTGCTCTAGTGTGATTGAGAATCAGGAATCTCAAGTGGGGTTGGGTACACAATTAGCTGAGGGTGTGGAATTAAATAATTTGTTGTCAGACATTATTGTGTCTCGTGATGCCATTGAAAAATGCCCGGGTTATAATCTAGAACTTGATGTTGTTGCAGATGCTGTTGAATGTGAATTACGAAAGGTTGAAGTTGGGGAGATGAGCTCAGAGGAAGTTCCCGTTACCACTTCTATGTATTTGGATCCCAAATCCTGGCCACTTATTAATGAGGAGAAGACAAAGAGAGAATTAGAATCAGAGAAGTCTCAGATGTTGTTTTCAAGGCGCTGGGCTGACATGGTGAAAACTCCCTCGAGGAAAACAATAATTGTTCATGACCATGCTTTTAAAGTAAATAAAGAAAATTTCCCTCTACCTCCACGTCATGAAGAACCGGCTGAACATCCTGATTGCAGTGAAGAATCGCCTAAAGCTGTAAAATCTGAAATTTTGATTGATGTTTGTCAACCAACTGACAACTTCTCAGCTTCAATTTCTGAGCCTCGTGAACCTCAACTTGAAAATTTTGATGCTAAAAGCACTGATGAGGTTTCTTCTTCATCTAGCGATGGTCTGAGATTACAAATTAATGTGGAGAACGTCCCAATTGTTGACAACATAATTCTAGGTTGTACCACTAATGATGCAAATGAAAGTGAGGACAATGGGAATGGAATTTCAACAGCTCCTCCAAAAGGTTCTACTGATGTCATGCTTGCTCGAGAAAACTTGAGTGTTGGGGCTGCGACAAGGCCATTCTATCTTGTTAGGATTCCAAAGTCTAATGATAGGAAACTGAGAGAGCAGATAAAACATGCTCAGCTAGAAGTTGATGAGAAGACTCGGCTGAGGAATGCTATTCAACTCGAAATTCAGAAGACAAGGGTAAAATCTTCTTCCATAGAATTTTTTTTTATATCATTTTCGGTTGAGAAATATTCATGCAGTTTTTGGGTTTCTTCTATTTACAGGAAAATTATCGAGCTTGTGGTTCTCAATGCGAAGCTGCCATGATTGAAAGAGGAGCTGCAAGGAAGATAATGAGATCGAAGCTCTCGGAAATAGATTTTCTTCATTCTGTTATTAACAGAGCCAAGAGTGTGATAACTATTGAGGATTTGGATAGACAGGTTAGCTATATATGTGAGAGTGTGTGTGTGTGTGTGTGTGTGTGTGTGTGTGTGTTTTCTTACATGATTCCCTGGGGGCAGATATGCAATATGGAACATATGATACAGCATGAAACCCTTACCCTAAAGGAGGAAAAGCAGCTCATTCATGAAATCAAACAAGTGAAACAGCACCGTGATAAATTGTCACATAGCATTGGTAGCCAAGATGAAATCCAACAGGCCTTGGACCAGAGAGAGGAAGCTGAAGAGCGTTTGAAGGTATGAATATCTAATTTCTGTTGTGCATTCAAGACATACTTGCAGTTTGCATATGTCATTATTTTTCTTGCTAGTCTATAGATAAAAAGAGATGGAAAATATAATTACTCCATCTTATTGTATGACGGACATTTCAATTTTGCTTTTCTGTGTCTTCGTGTATTCTTTAAGGTTTTCTTGTGTAGCTGTAGAGCAGGAATAATTATGCAGCATAAAAGCCAAAATTGTTTATATTCGTCTTCAAGTTACTCCTTTAAGTTCTTAATACGGTGTCATCATATGCAGATCTTAAAGAAGGAGCTCGATGGCCTCAAGGATAGTATCTCAAAAATTGAAGAAGCTGCTACTGCCGCAGGTAGGGAACGTGAAGATGAAAATAGGAAGGCTGAAGAACTACGTGTTCAGTTCAGAGCTGCAGATGATATTCGCCAAGCAGCATATTCTCAATTGCAGAGTCTGAGAAAAGAACTTTTTGAGAAGGTCAGTTGCCATTTTTTCATTGCATGTTTATTTTCATCAAGTTTAATGATTAAGTTGGGGCCATTTTTCTCACCAATAGCATTCCATCTGACTATAACGGTACCATGTTTGCTGAAATCATGCCTAAAAATTGTGTATGTAAACATAAGCATTAATTGAATTCAGAAGTCAGATGAAGCCTTCCTTTCTAAAGATGTAAAGAAACACTCCCCTTTGTTATTAACCCTTTAAAACTCATATCCCCTTGCTTGTTCGTAGTTGTTTATAATTTCGTCATGACTCCCAGATGGAGGGGATATGAGAAACTGACGTGCAATTAGCTGTGGAAAGGTGTAATTATCTGGAAAAAGATATACTCCGTTAACATATTAAAGCCATATACGATAAATAGACATCTAGTTCTATTACTCTTGTTGTTAATTTGTTCTCAAAATAGGCTCTTTTGATGGTAAAATTTGCATTTACTGCTTTGTTATTCCTTTTATTAAGATTTCATTTTAAAGAATTTCTTAAAGTTAGTAATTTGTTGTTAAGATTTTGAGCCCTCCCTCTATTCTGTATATCTACTTGTTACCTTGAGGTTAATTTAACATGGATATGGATGGACGTAAAGGTATTTATGTGAAACAAGTAATGAATATGTTTCAAGAAGATTAAATTTTTTTTAATCTTTTTCTTTTGTATTTTTATCATTTGTTGATTAAGTTGATGGGTATCTTGTATTTCCTTGGCCGTGAAGCTTCACAACTTTTCTTTTTCTATGGAACAATGATGTGGTTGTGTGGGCTCATGGATTTAATTATACAATTTTGAGAACGAACCTGGTTAAGAATTCCATTCATATAAACAACTCGGGAAAATTTAATTTTGCTCTGCTTGCATACGGTGAACAGATCTGATGATATTTGGCATGGCTCTTTGTGATGATTGAACCATTTGGATGCTGTTGCTTTTTAAGTTATTGAGAGATTTACATTGGAAATATTAAAATGCATAGAAATTAGATTTACACTAGAAATGACACACAAATTTTCCCCCGAAACAAAAGGAGACAAATTAAATTAGAAAGGCAAACAAAATCAAAAATTATTTGGCTTTAAATTAATTTTTAAATTGCAGAACGAACATTTTCGCAAGTACATGGGTGATGCAGCTACAGCCAGGGATTGTGCATTTAACGAAGATAGAGAGGGACTTCACCATCTTTGCGTAAATCAGGTTAACTTTTTGCTTCGTCTGTCTTTGACACGAAAATGCAGCCTATAACTTTTTTGTATTTGTGCTGATTGTTTAGGTGGAAAAAATAATGAAACTCTGGAACACAAATGACAAGTTCCGAAAGGAATATGTGAAGCAGAATGAAAGGAGTACGCTCACGAGATTTGGAACTCTGGATGGTCTTTCGCTAGGCCATGACAAGGTGCCACCTAATCTTCCCGGTTATGTGAATGAAGGAGTTGGTAAGCTGGGTTTAACACCAGTGGAGACTGGCTCTATCCAAAGTTCACCTCTGGAATTATCAGAACCTAAGAATCGTATGATGACAAATAAGGAACCTGCTAAACCTGTATTGGTGAATGCCTTAGCAACTGTTTCTGGCGAGGATGTGATCAGTGAGATCAAGAAAAAACCAATGAAATCAAAGGAAGAGGTGGAGCTGGAAAGGAAGATAGAGGAGGAATCAAGAGAAGAGGCTAAGGCCAAGTTGACAGAGCAACTTAGGCTGGAGGAAATAGAAAAGGCTAAGTTGGCACTTGAGAGGAAGAAGAGGAATGCAGAAAAGGCACAAAGGAGAGCTGAACAACGAGCACAGAAGGAAGCAGAACAGAGAGAAAAGGTGAGTTTTCTTCTTCTACAATACCTGGTTTCATTGATGCTGTTGACTAGTACTGATGGATGAACGTGTCTGTGTAGGAGAGGGAGAAGAGGCTGAAAAAGAAGGAACGAAAGAATGCTTCTGCTGCTGCTCCAAGCGAAGTCAATGATGTTAGTAGGGCCATTCAAAGCACTGAAATCCAAACCGAGATTGTGGAGGAGACGAATTCTGTAGCAGCAGCAAGTACTAGAAGACCTCCAAAACAAAGCAAGTCAAAATATAATATCCCTCCATCAATCGTTCGCAATCGAAACAAGAGAAAGTGGCAGCCTTGGATATGGCTAGTTTTGGCATGCCTCACTGTAGTTGCTCTATTCTTGCTGGGAAATACAGGTATGTTTACAAATGCAAATCACAAGTGGTGGTGAAACCTTTTTAACTAGTTGCATATCTATTAGTGTCCAACTCAGGTTAGTGTATAGAAAATTCTTTCTTTGTTCTCTACATAGATTTTTGTATTTATCTGTTTAGACTTTATCTTTGGCTTCTGGGGTCTAAACTTCTAAATTTTTTTCGTATCGATAATTTAAAATATCATACATTAATTTCTGTCTTACCAATGCAACAAACCGTATTTGCATTTATGTGCGTGATGAGACCGAACCTGACCTTTTAATAAAATCATGTAGTAAAATAATTGTATGTCATAGAAATCTTATTTCGATACTAGTTTAAATTTCAAACTTGAGCATGAGAATCAAATCAAATCAAGTCGAGTACTACTGTATCCACCAGAAATCAATCGAATATACACACATTAATTATTACTAATCAAACCGTTAACTCGATTAGTTATAAGAAAGAAAAGTCAAAGGAGTTAGACTACGAAAACCGGATTTAGGTGTTGCTGTTTAGCATGAAAAACATGATGTGTTAATATAATAGTTAAAGAAATTTCAAGAAGATTAAGTTTGACCCTTGAATGACGACCGAAGTTTGAGTACGCTGCGGCCTTGTTTTCTCGCCATTTTTTTGTTTCACACAGCCAAATTTTCTATTCAAAGGTCAAATCAATCACCTATGTTGCTTTATCTCACCTTGAGAACATTTCTTTAAATCCATAATGACTGAGTAAACACACTACATAAGAACAATGAAACAACACATATCAAAATATAAGTAATATGTTTGAGAATAAGTAAGTGCTTTGTGTAAAAAATTCTTAAAAAATTTAAATTCACAACTCTTCGGTAACTTAGGATGGCCGTACCCTTCAATCCTTCGAAGGTGGAAGAAGGGATGCTATCAATTTCTATCTATATAGATTAGAACCTTAGAACACCAAAAAAGTTGGGGAGAAAGAGTTGCCAATCAACTTTCGATAATTTACTATGTTAAATCATTCTATTTTAAATAATGACAAAATTCAGATGGTGAACAAAAGTTCGACCTGACAATTAATTTTAACCACGATGATGTTTAGAATGATAAAAAAATCTTCTTCATTTTTTCAATTATTTTTCTTTTACTTTTTTTTTCCCTCAAAAAATATCTTTTAGGTAAAGGTAGGAGTCAATGTAGAGAAACCATTTTGCCCGAATTTTGGTGATAGCTTGATTGATCGACCCTCACATTCTGTGTGGGCACCGCGTGAATTAAAAAATGCCGACCTTCTCATGTGTGTGTGTTCGGTCATCACCAAGGTCAACCCTTATGTTTGTGTAGCTCGGTCCGAGAAAATTTAACCCTCGTTTGGCATTCATTTTAAGAATTTATTTTTTCTTAAACTCATTTTCATTTACACATCTTATGAAATTCATAACTTTTATCAAGTTTTCAACCACACATCTCATCTACTTTTATTAAAATATACTAAAAATCTCATTTTTATCTCAACCAAACAAGGACTTATTGTCACATCAAATTCCAGTTTACTAAACTTACCTTCAATATTAGTTTAAGTGGTCACACTCTATTTTAATTACTAACAGGATAAACCGTTTAAAGTGAGATAATTAAATTTATTTATTTTGAATGTTATCCACGTAATATTTATAAATTTGGCATAATGTGAAAGGAGAGGCACAATTAGAAATGGGAAGGACCGAGTTTGGGCATAATGTGAAATTGTTCCGAGTCAAGTTGGTTTTTTATTCTAAAATGTACGCTGGTATTAATAATCTTAGGGTGGGGATAAGAGATTAAATCCACAAACAATTGAATATAACTATAAAAATTACATAAAGAATTCATGATCGTCGCGTCGCAAAATAGGACAATGCATCGACTTAAAACTTGTAAGATTACAAAAGGTATCCTCAATTGAGATTTTAATGAAATTCTAAAAAATATATCTGTATTCAATAATTCGTAGAGTTATAAAATTTTCATGAATAAAGAAATTTTAAAAGATTTGAATAGATTTTAAGCTTAAAAATGCACTTATCTCTCTCTCTCTCTCTCTACATTTTTAATGAGATACTTATCGATTATGTGAAAATCTATTCCAATTCACGAAATTCATTAAAATTTTAGAATCTTTTAAAATTCATCAAAATCTCAATTCAAAAATAGAACATAAACATAAGACTAAAATGTAATTTCTAAGTCAAAAAGTTAAGTCGTTATGAACTTCATTAGGTGCCCACAAAAAGTTTCTCAGAATTTATATTTGTAAATATTAAATTCCTCAATTTTCGACCGTTCACGCCCCAAAGTCAACAGATGTATCCCGTCTACTTATATGAACGACGAAGTTGGCAAACGATTATAGTCTTGACCATTAAATTTGTCGACAATGACATGGGAGGAGATTTTATTATTTTTTTCTTTTCATTTTCAACTAATTTTTAATAAGATACACATAAATCTTTTCAATTAAGACCCTATTTGGTACAAATTCTTTAAAAATAATAATAATTTCTTATCATACATTTTCTCAATAAAATAAATTTACACGTGAAATCATAATTTTTTTCCTTTTTAACCGTAAAAAAATCAATTTTCAAATATCTATTATCACAAAATTTACATCGAACATGCCCTAAAAATTACGAGCACTACATAGAAAAAGAAAAACAAAAATAATTGAAGCAATCATGCTACATGGCTAGAGTCAATAACAGAAAAGTATTTTCAGACTACACTTGACAAGTTTTTATTGGATGATGAAAAATAATCGTAAAATTACACAATCTTTAGCTGTCACATCAGTCTGTTTTTTTCTTGTTTGTTCAGCATTGCTCATAGGAAAAAACCAAACAACCCACACATTTGACACTCCGGGTAACCGCACCCTCACATGATCGACGTGGGTCTCACATGAATAAAATATCCCCAACCCTCATGTATGTGTATTATGTCAACCGTACGATCACTCGCACGGGTTATATAGCTCAGTCCTTGCTCATAAGCTAAGTCAAGTCCAGCCCTTGTTCTCCAAGCAAATAGTAGGAGTTTTTAGTTTGTTTTCTTGGAAGCTGACATATTGCATCGCGTGTTGCATTTCGTTATGTCATTGCTGATTCTACCAATCTAACACCCATATTCATTTTTCAATTCTATGGCCCCCACACATTTCTCTCTATAAAATCCCTCTCATCTCCTCAATTTTCGCCATTCATTCACAAGTTCACAACTCCTCTTCTTCCCCACTCCCCAATTCTCTCTCCAATCGAAACTGCTAGGAAGCAAAAATGGGTGCTTGTCTTTCTTCAAAATCACTTGATTACCAGATCCCTTCTGCAAACGTTGTTCTAATGAATGGAGAATTACGCCAATTTTCAATTCCAACCACAGTTGTTCAGGTTTTGGAATTTGTAAATTCAGCATTAGGTTCATTCATTTGCAACTCGGATTGCTTGTATTTCAACGATTACATACCTGCTTTGGCGCCAGAAGATGCGCTCGAGGAATCTCAGATCTATTTCGTGCTACCGAAAACGAAGCTTCAATATCGTTTGACTGCGTCCGACATGGCTGCTCTAGCCGTGAAAGCCAGCGTCGCTCTTGACAAAATGAACGCCGCTGCCTCAACGCAACGGCGGAAGAGAAAGTCCCGGATTTCACCAGTTATGGTTGTAGATCAAAATATCCAACCCTATCAGAAGAAGAGTTCTGTTAACAATAACAATGCAACGAAACCCTCAACGTCAGCGCAATTAGGGGTTTCTAGATCCAGGTCTGTGAGGAAATTGCATAAATACTCTTCTCGGCGGGCTAAAATGGCGGCCCGACCCTTCAGGATTGGGCTAAGCACTATTTATGAAGGATCTGTGGCATATGCTCCAGTTAACTGATTCTTCAATTTAATTTTTCATATCTTAGCTTGTGAAAAAGCCAAAAAAATGTACTAAAAAAAAGGGTAAACGATGGGTGCACACATTTTTGTTTTATTTGGGATTCTTCTGAAGAAAGATTCTGTCTGTAAATATTCGTGTGACATTTTGATATGGAGATTACATTCAATTTCCGTGAATTGGAATTTTTTATAGAGGAAATTTTATTTGGTGTCAAAATTTGGCTATGAATTATAAAAAATGTCACCTTTCAAATTTTCTATCAAAAATGTTAGTTTAGGACATTTTTGACCCTATGAATTATTTAAATACCTTATGTATCCTTATACAAAACTTGTGTATTTTGTCGAAATGAATGACAATATGTTGGAAATGAAATGACAATATGTCAAAATGAAATGACATCATAGCTTTGAAATCATTTACCATTGAACTGTCGTTCTCGACAGTTAGTATCAGTAATTTTCGACAGATGTACTTATCGATAGATCAGGTGAAGTTTTTGATAGATGAACTATTGGAAACGACAGTTCCTTCCTTTACCTAAACTCAGTTCCACAATTTGAACTTTGGTTCCAACATTGCACGTGTGTTTCGCATTAACATGTATGAAATGTTATGATCTTATGATTTGTTGATTGATTCGTCGTTTTTATGCTTGATTAATGCATTCATTTTCTGTGTTCAAGTTTCAGTGGTTTGTTTCGCATTTTTTGTTCATTATTCTTGATTGATGAATTCATTTTCGCCTTGAAATGTCAATTTGGCTGCCCACATGAAGTGGGTAGAGATCTATGTGCACGAGGACGATTATGAAAAATTGCGCTCATCAATTGACTTTCATGATATAACTTTGATCAGATTGATATTATTATTGCTTATTTATCTATAATGTATGACTGCTTTTCACATTATTGGAGTCACAGGATAAACAATGAATTTATATGAGATACACGATAGTTGTTTATCATTCGACATTGTTGATTGAAGTCAGAATATTTGTTAATGCATAGTCTTATTCTTCACATTTTTATGTTTGATAGTTTAATCATCGACACGTACTTCGACTTCGATTTGGTAAGATTGCTACCACTGTGTAGTATGATTCAAATGCATATGAAAGCCAATTTGGTAAGGTTGTTACCACTTAACATTTGCATAAATATTTTTGGTATCTTTTCCCTCCAAAAATATTTCAAAAATGAGGAGCATCATGATTAATAGTAGTTTCAAAAGCATTATTCACTTTGATGATCATGTTATTTTTATCATTTAAAAAAGAGTAAGCTATTCGATAAAAATAAAAAATAATTCGTAATAACTAACCTCTCAAAATGGATGATAAATCTAATAGTAATGTCTTCTTGATCAAGGGATAAAGAAGGTGGATGAAGTGAGGGTTTATTGAAGATATTTGTTTGATGTTAAGTACGTTATATATATATATATATATACGAGATTGGAACGTAGCATTAAATGCTCGTAAAAGGGGACATGAAAGGTAAGTTGGACATTTCCCAACAAAAAGTGATATTTTTTTATAAAATTAGGTGCACATGCAAATTTTTTGTACATTTTCACAAAAAAAAATGACATTTTTTACTATTCCTCTTTTTTATATCAATTTTTTCTATTTCGGAAAAGCAATTGGATTTTTCCATTAGGATGCTTGACTTTTTGTGAGTTATCCTTTTTGGATAAGTAATGCTATTTAACACTTGAGGTCTTGATTTGACTTGAATCTTGAAAAGTCAAAGTTTATTTCCGAAATTAAAATGTTATTTTTGAAAATATTTTGATAATTTTTTAGAATTTTTTTTCTTAATTAGAAGAGTTTTTAAATGAAGATAAACTACAATAGCTTTCTTGTGAAAAATTTATACAAGAAGTAGAAGCATAACAGAAACTTTGCAAACGAATCTTTATACTCATATTGTAATATGATGCTATTTTGTCGTCTCGTTCTCGTCTTTTTTTGGACAGAATAAAAAAAAATAATTTCTTTTTTCTTTTGATATCTCTGAGCTAAACAAATTTTTAGAAATTATATCGGGAGGAGTCAGCATATTCAATTATAAATAGAACTAGTTTTTATGTGGTTTCAGTGTCCTTTTGTGTTTCAAGTAGGACTGGAAAAAATTCAATTCAACCCAATCAACTCGATCCAAACCGATCGATTTGAGTTATTTTTTAAGTTCAATCAAGTTTGATTGGGTTGAAAAATTAAATTTGAGGTTGGATTGGGTTGGGTCTGGGGTTATAATTTAAAATCCAAACCAACCCAATCCAACGAATTATAAAAATTAATATCTAGATGAAAAACTAAAAAATCTAAATAAATAAAATAGTAAAGATATGAGGACTTGTAATTTATGAAAGTTTATTTTCTTTATATAGATTGATTCACACGAACACTTTCTACAAATGGGATATTATTTGACAATAAAGTAAAAATTAAGAACATGATGATGAAATGAATAAATCCCCAAAAATTGTAAAAAAGAAAATGCTTAATAAATTTTATTTAGACAAACAGACTTTGCTCAATTATATCATTTTTCAACATTTCAAATCAAACTTAGTCCCCGTTTGGCCCTCCATTTTGTGAAAATAAAAATGGGAGGAATAGTGTGTGTGTGTGTGTGTGTGTTTTTTTTTTTTTTTAAATAAGTGGTTGAAAAAGAAGGAAAAATTTTCGATTTACATGTAATATTATTTATAAAAGATTGTGTGGTTGAAAATAGGAGAGAAAAATGAATTGTAATGGAATGTAAATTATTGGAGGCCAAACGGGGGATATAATTTGTCTTGGGCTATTTTTCTCTCTCTATTCTAGTTCATCCGAAATGTTCCTCTCATACAAGGTAAGATAAGTTTCTACATGTACATTTGGTCTGCTCGACTAGAGAATAGAGTCCCATAAAATGTTTGTTCGTTATCCCGTTTTAAAAAGTCTAATATGGACATATCAAATATTCGTTATTGATCTTTTTTATTTGTCTTTAGTTTTTATCTTTCGATCTTTATCCTTTTAAATTAAAATGTGAAAATTACATGTTCGAATGTGCTTAAAAATAGATTCATGTTTGATTTATTTTTTTCGTCAAATACGATATTACTTTGTTTACTAACAAAACTTATTTTTCTAGACTTAACTTACTTTGTAGAAGAATAATTTTTAAGTATAGCAATTTTGGACCGTTCACGCTCCACAAGTCAATATATGTATTCCGTCTACTTAAATGAACGACGAAGTTAGCAAACGAAAATCAGACACGACCATTAAATTTGTCGACAATGAAATGGGAGGAGATTGCATTATTTTTTTCTTTTTGATTTTTCAACTAATTTTTAATAAGACACACATAAATCTTTTCAACTAAGACCCTATTTGGTACAAATTGTTAATTTTTTTTCCCAAACTCATTTCTAATTATATATTTTCTCAATAAAATAATTTTACACGTGAAATCATATATTTTTTTCCCATTTTAACCTTTAAAAAATCACTTTTAGCAATTATCAAAAAAATTACATCGAACATGCCCTAAAAATTACGAGCACCACATAGAAAAAGAAAAACATAAATAAATGAAGCAATCATGCTACATGACTAAAATCAATTACTGAAAAGCATTTTCAAACTACACTTAACAATTTTTTATTGAAGCACGAAAAATAATCGTAAAATTACACAATCATAAACTGTCACATCAGTCTGTTTTTTTTTTTTTTTTTTTTTAATTTTTTTTCAGCTTTTTTTTTTTTTTTTTTTTTTTTTAATGTTTGTTCAGCATAAGCGAAGTCAAGCCCAGCCCTTGGTCTCCAAGCAAATAATAGGAGTTTTTAGTTTGTTTTTCTTAGAAGCTGACATATTGCATCGTGTGTTTCATTTCGTTATGTCATTGCTGATTCTACCAAACTTCCACCCATTTTCATTTTTCAATTCTGTGGCCCCCACACATTTCTCTTTATAAAATCCCTTTCACTGCCTCACTTTCCGCCATTCATCCCCCGATCCCCAATTTTCTCTTCCAATCGAAACTGCCAGAAAGCAAAAAATGGGTGCTTGTCTTTCTTCAAAATCAGTTGATTACCAGATCCCTTCTGCAAACGTTGTTCTAATGAATGGAGAATTACGCCAATTTTCAATTCCAACCACAGTTGCTCAGGTTTCGGAATTTGTAAATTCAGCATTAGGTTCATTCATTTGCAACTCGGATTGCTTGTATTTCAACGATTACATACCTGCTTTGGCGCCAGCAGATGCGCTTGAGGAGTCTCAGATCTATTTCGTGCTACCGAGCACGAAGCTTCAGCATCGTTTGACTGCGTCCGACATGGCTGCTCTAGCCGTGAAAGCCAGCTTCGCTCTTGACAAAATGAACGCCGCTGCCTCAACGCAAAGGCGGAAGAGAAAGTCCCGGATTTCACCAGTAATGGGTCTAGATCAAAATATCCAACCCCATCAAAAGAAGAGTTCTGTTAACAATAACAATGCAACGAAACCCTCAACATCAGCACAATTAGGGGCTTCTAGATCCAGGTCTGTGAGGAAATTGCAGAAGTACTCTTCTCGGCGGGCTAAAATGACGGCCCAATCCTTCAGGATTAGGCTAAGCACTATATATGAAGGATCTGTAGCATATGCTCCAGTTAACTGATTCTTCAACTTAATATTTCGTATCTTAGCTTGTGAAAAAGCCAAAAAAAAAAATGTACTCATAAAAATGGTAAACTATGGGTGCATACATTTTTGGATAATTCCAAGTGTACATAATTTGGTTTACCAAATGGTTTATCTACTTTCACAAGCATGTGGACCTCGCATGAATAAAATAATCCCAAAATGTGATCCCCACACTCTTATTGTGAGTGTATGTAAAGCATTAGATTAGAAAAATTAGTTACATCTAGCATGATCCGTTTGTCTTATTTAGGATTCTTTTGAAGAAAGATTCAGTCTGTAAATATTCGCGTGACATTTTGATATGGAGATTACAATCAATTTCTGTGAATTGGAATTTTTTATATCAGTTTTCTCTATTTTGGAAAATCAATTGGATTTTTCCATTAGACTTTTCGTGAGCTACCCTTTTTGGATAACTAATCCTATTTAACACTTGAGATCTCGATTTGACTTGAGTCTTGAAAAGTCAAAAATTATTTCTGAAATTAAAATGTTATTTTTGAAAATATTTTGATAATTTTTAAAAACAAAATTTCTTAATTAAAATAGTTTTTAAAGGAGGCTAAACTATAATAGCTTTCTCGTGAAAATTTTATACAAGAAGTAGAAGCATAATAGAAACTCTGTCAAACGAATCTTTATACTAATATTGTAATATAATGCTATTTTGTTGTCTCGTTCTCATCTTTTTTGGACAGAATAAAAAAAAATCATTTCTTTTTTCTTTAGATATCTCTAAGCTAATCAAACAAATTTTAGAAATTAGATAGGGAGGGGGTCAACATTCACGTATAAATAGAACTCGTTTTTATGCGGTTTTAGTCTCCTTTTATGTTTCAAGTAGGATTGGACAAAATTCAATTCAACCCGATCAACTCGAGCCAAATCAATCGATTTGGGTTATTTTTTAAATTTAGTCAGGTTTGATTGGGTTGAAAAATTAAATTTGAGGTTGGATTGAGTGGGGTCTGGGGTTATAATTTAAAATTCAACCCAACACAATCCAACGAATTATAAAAAATTAATATCTAGATTAAAAAATAAAAAATCTAAATAAATACAATAGTAAAGATACGAGGACTTATAATTTATAAACGTTCATTTCCTTTACATAGATTGATTCACACGAACACTTTGTACAAATGAAATATTATTTGACAATAAAGTAAAAATTAAGAACATGATGCTGAAATGAATAAATTCCAAAAAATTGTAAAAATGAAAATGCTTAATAAATTTTATTTAGACAAACAGACTCTTCTCAAGTATATATCATTTTTCAACATTTCAAATCAAACTTAAGCCCCCATTTGGCCCTTGTTTTGTGGAAATGAAAATGGATGGAATAATATTTTTTTGAAAAATGAGCGGTTGAAAAAGAAGAAATTTTTTTCAATTACGTGTAATATTATTTTATGGAAGATTGTATAATTGAAAATAGGAGAGAAGAAAATGAAATATAATTGAACGAAAATTAATAGAGGCCAAAAGGGGGCTGCTCTGGGCTATTTTTCTTTCTCTAGTCCAGTTCATTAGAAATTTTCCTCTTATACAAGGTAAGATAACTTTCTACATGTATATTTGGTTTGCTCGACTAGAAAATAGAGTCCCATAAAACGTTGGTTCGTTATCCTGTTTTAAAAAGTCTAGTATGTGCATATCAAATATTCGTTATTTATCTTTTACATTTGTCTTTCTTTTTTAATCTTTCGATCTTTGTTCTTTTGAATTGAAATGTGAAAATTACACGTTTGAATGTGTTTAAAAATAGATTCACGTTTGATTTATTTTTTTCGTCAAATAC